ATATATATATATGTATATATATATATACAATATATCTCTGATATATTATGTAGAAACCGATCTTGGAACTGCTGAGACTGCTCAGCCATCTTTGACAGATCAAAGGAACTGAAACAGTCTCATTCGATTCTAGTCCATTAATTTGTCAATTTTAGATTGTCACACTCTTGGATATTATCTAGCTTGAAGGAAATCTGGAAGAAAGGTGTATGATTTCTTGAGAACAGCAGAGGAAAAAGGGTAGTTCAAACTACTTCAACAACAGAAATAAAGGTAACTGCTGCAACTACTGTGTAAGCTCTTCAACAGGGAATCCAGGATATATTTCTGTAATAATGACCAGCTAGTCTCCCAGATTCTGGCTGATCTTTAAAAAACACAGAGTCTTATGTGTGCTTACACACATCAAGAACTGGATGGCTTCAGTACAATTAATGGTTCCTTATTCTTCCACCTCAGAAATTCTCAAAAAGAGGTCACTGAACACACAGAGCACATGGAACATGTATGAGACAGTACAGAAAATGGTGTTGGTCTTGAAGACGGTTCAGCGTTCATGCACAGTCCTTAGATCTTTTTGTTACAATCTTCATGATGCTACTTATATGTAGCTTTGTCACAGTTCCAAAAAGGTTACAGGTTAATGAAATTCTACTAGTTGATGTTGCTGCTTATTTCCTCTATATGATTAGATCGCACCACAAGGAGTACCTGTTCTGCACTATATACTCCATGCCTTCTAGCAGAATAGAAAAATCCTACAAAATATCTTGGACACTTCTTAGGTAAACTGTTCTTTGGTGGAAGAAATATGTATTTGTCTCTCCTTGAAGAGACTTGTTTGTTATAGAACAGGCAGGACTTGCATCCCATAGAAATCAAACTCAGTTCATCAGGAAATGATAAAGAAACAGGATATGCAAAGAATTCTGGTGAGGTAAAACAGACTACCTTTTTCTGCATCCAGTCGCTGTAAAGTAAAAATTAGATGTAAGGCCTTAAAGAGGTTCTAAAGCCTCACCTGATTTAAGAACCTGTTAGGTATGCATATCTTCCTGTCACTAAAATTAACCTAGAACACCTGCATTTGTGTAGTCCTCCCTCTTCTTTATAGAGAAAGAGCAAAAGCATAGTTTCAGCAAACACCACTATTAAAAACAGCCACCTTGCACGTGAGGCCAGAGAAAAGACAGGATTTATAGCAACATGCATTTAAAAATTAAGACGTGTCTTATTATAGTCAGTAAAAAATGGCAATTCCTCGTGAAGGGTAACAGACGAAACTCCATACCTTTATAAATCCCCACAGTCCTCCAACAGGTGCCCCACCTTGGGCAGTAGATACTCTGGGGTCTTCATGCTCCTCAGGAAAAGTGATTGCAGAACCAGTTCCAGGAGCCAAAGGTGATGAGAAAGTTGCTTGCTGAGTAATAGGATCTGCCAAAACACCTAGTAAGAGGAAAAATAAAAACATATATTCATTTATTTTACTGCACTTAATTTGTTATACTGTAGCAACATGCAATTGTTTAACAGGAAAATGAGCAGGAAGAATAGAAGAATACTGGGCTGATTCACTTCATTTTTTGAAGGCCCCAGAACAATTCTGCATGTTAAAAGGTTAGCAGATATAACTACTGTAAAAGAGTTCAACAATATGTGCTAATAGAACCAAGACTGCCTGTACATTATGTATAAAATTAAACAATGATTTTTTCTTAGAAGGTTAGTTTAACAGTGGTGCTTTTTACTGTATTCAAATTTTCATAATAAGCCCTCTGTAGAGGAAAAAGATGAATGGGTGTTGCTCTCTGAACAAAGAGATAGGAATGTTCTCATACATAATAAAAGAGAGAGAAGTAGGAAATTTTCTAACCCTGAGTGCTGGAAATTAGTAGCAATAGAAAAAGGAGCAAGCAAATGAATAGCTTTACATGCTTTAAAGGAAAACAAAAGAAACTCAAACAGCAGAAAATTTAAGCATGAGCCTTTGCCCCATTATTCAAGCCTATTTTAACAGATTTTCCAACTCTAGCCTTAATCAAGAGTTATTTTTATTTTACACTGCACAATTGATACGTCTTTTTAAACACTTTCCTAATATAGACTATTTAAAAGAGGTATCACCAATAATAGTAAAAGCCTGGTCCAACTGCAGTTGAAGAGCCAAGTTTCCATTCCACTAGCAGAAAATGACATCAGTTCAGCAACTACAGCAACTGCTTGCATGGAAGGTATGTATTTTTAGCTGTCTAATGCAATTTAGTGGCTGGAAACAAGAAAATGGAAGCTGGTGTCATGTGATGGACAGTTTCTTATAGATAGCTTTTCAGAACAAAAAACTGAGAATTATGAGATTACAGTCTGAGATACCATATCATTCTGTGGAAATATAATGGCTGAAGTTGACTCTCTGATCTAAACAAAAGATATGTATATATGTTCAGCTGGGCTTTCCTGTACAAGTTAACAAAAAATAAAGCTCTCAAAGATTTTTCTGTGAGCCTGAATGCTAGCAGAACTGTACTAAAGAGAACTCTCTGTCCTAGACCATGACTGTATTTTAAAGGCTACTCTCCCTTCTTCTGAGTGCAGCTACATTAATTAAGTGTATCTGGAATAATAAAGAAGCTGAACTTGCAGGAGAAGAGCTAAACTCTAGTAGAGTGGTGAAAAAAGCCACCCAGGAGATCCCTCATCCTGTCTCACAAACACGAAAGCATGTAAGCAAAAAGTTACCTGTGACTGGAGGTGCAGAAAATGATGGCATCAGTGGGCTCTGTGGTGCTCGACCAGCATGACCTCTGGTAATGTCATAGGTTGAAGACATGGAAAATCCTGAAATGGGGGGACCAGTGGGAGGTGCAGGAAGACCAGGGCCAGTAGTAGAGCTTAATGGAGGAGGTGTAGAGAACTGTGACATGGAAGTACTAAAAGCTGAAGGGGCAACAGGAGGTGGGGCAGGAGTTAGAGGCGGTGCGATAGTAGAAACCATTGCTGAAGGCACAAGTGGAAGAGAAGCTGAAGTCATCATAGGAGGAGGAAGTGAAGACACTCCAGCTGGCAAGGGTGGCGAGTACGTGGGAGAAGATGACACGCTTGGTGTAGCAAGGGGACTGGACAAAGCTATGAAAAAAGAGAAAAAAGGAATTTTAGAAATGCTGAGCCTTAATCTCAGAGATTAAATTATATAATTGTTCAGATATTTTACAAACAAGTTTTGACCTGGTCTGCTTTTTTCCCTTAAAAGTGAATTTTAGTTCTGCTTGAGTTTGCATGCAACACCAATTGCACTCAATTTTTGGTGATAGTATCTTGTAAGCCACGTTGCTTTTTCTTGCATGACCCTATTTGTCATAAGCTTAAGAAGATGAGTCAACATTTGGCTACTGAATTTATAGCAGCTGAAGTCTGCCTCAGAAATTTCTAGCTAGTACTGTTCTTTCTGAGTGACCGCTTAACCAACAGGAATAATGATGATGCAGGAAGTGCCCACCTTTAAGAATAAAACGTACACTCATAATATCTAGGAGAGTGGGAGTTACTTCAGAGGTACAGTTCTATGAGATGCGTTGAGCACCAGGCAGCCCTCTCTTCCCTGGCACCCAGCCTCCTATTCCCTCTGCTTTCTCTCTGTTTCAGTCTGGCCCTCAGCTGATCCTTAGATAAGCCAATCTTGCCCTCTAAACCAAATTTAGCCAGAAAATTAAGTAAAAAAACCAGAAATTACCATTTTTGAGAGCAGTAAATTGTTGGATCAGCTCAAACATCTCAGTGGCTTCAGCATAAACATCAATGACAGTCAAATGATATACCAAGTGGCACTAATGCAGTATTCTCCAAGCTTTATCAGTGTCCTGGTTTCAGCTGGGATAGAGTTAATTTTCTTCCTAGGAGCTGGTATAGTGCTATGTTTTGGATTTACTATGAGAATAATGTTGATAACACACTGATGTTTTAGTTGTTGCTGAGCAGTGCTTACACTAAGTCAAGGACTTTTCAGCTTCTCAGACTGCCCTGCCAGCAAGGAGGCTGGAGGTGCACAAGAAGCTGGGAGGGGACACAGCCAGGACAGCTGACCCAAACCAGCCAAAGGGATATTCCATACCATAAGACATCATGCTGAACAAAAAAACCGGGGGGAGTTGGCCAGGGGGCACGGCCGCTGCTTGGGAACTGGCTGGGCATC